CTCCATCCCAGCCATGGCCTTTAGGCACCGGGAGAGGGGCCTCGACTCGACGGCGGTTTTGCTGGGGGTTACCATAAGGTGGCTCCCAGGTCGCTTCGTCACCCCTGCCACAATCATGGGAGGCCCCTGCTAAAAATCGTGTAAAAGTATGACCTTCAACTTGATCCTGCAAGCTGCAGTAGGTTGGTGCTCCATGAGTCCTTGAGCTGAGCGAATGCTTCCAGGGATGCTTCTAGAACGTCAGTAGACAGGCGAACTGGCCAGTTCCGACCACGGACTCCCGAACTTCTTCTGAAACATGCGCTGCGAAGCCATCTGTCCAGATCTCGCCTCTCGAACGCCGGCACGCGTCGACATGCACGGGGGTCATCGTCATCGCCGTCGTAGCAATGGGAGCGGAGCAAGGTTCAGCGCACCCACCTACAGGCACTGGAGTTGGTAAACCTCCCTCCCTCCTTCCAGTTCCTCAAAACTAGACACCACATGTCAGCGAAACTCAGGGCGAGGGCAAAACCGCAGAGGTCCCTTGTGATCATTCTCATAGAGAGCTGGCCCAACTTACGGGCCCTTTATGTTATTCAAGCTAGACGACACTATCAGCGAAGGACTGCCCCTAAACCCTAAACCCTGAACCCTAAACCCTCAACCCCAACGAAGCGCGGCGCCCACATGGATTTTGCGCCGGGGAGGCTTGCGGGCAGTGTTTGCCCCAAGTGTTCCTAGGGTTCAGGGTTGAGGGGTTTCCGGGCTTAAAGGCTGAGAAGTTTAGGGGTTGAGGTTGAGGGAGGTACTTGCGAATCGACACCAGGACTCTAGAAGGTTTCAGGGCGGCTTGAAGGCTAGGGTTTTAAAGTTTAAGGCTGAGGAAGCTTGAGGGATCGAGCTTCCGATTGCAGACCCTGGGTCCAATATTTAAACCTTCCCATCTCTTTGAGACGGGAAGCTATCAGCTAGAGACATGTTACTGCTGGTGAGCAGGGAAAGGAGGACACGGTAATGGCAAGAGTAGACCTTGACTCCTCTACGAGAACTGATAACCAACAGCAAGAGAAAGGGGCCGGTGTGCACGGCAATGGCGGATAAGGAGTTGGTCCACTTGTCAGAGCTTTAATGGGGCCTTGCACACCTCTTCTACTGTGGGCTTCTTCTGCGCGTCTCAGAACCCGTGCACGAGGGACACCTGCCTGGGCCCAGAGTTTGCCAAGCTCGGCATTTGTTTGTGAGAGGTTCACGGGGTCTAGACTCTCGAGTTCCAAGTCCAACAGCACTGGAAATTAGTAAAAGCTTAAGGCAGCCACCCGAAGAGAAACAGAGGCTCACAGGAAAGAATGTAGCTACTCGTATCAGAAGCAACCTCTTCGAGAAGAAGCTTTACAGCAAATAGCACAAGAAAGACTTGCGCAATACTCATCATCAACACCGTCATAATAAGGAGCACTCCTCATCTGATACTCCTTCCCTTGCACTCAACTGAGACAAGCCTTCACAAACGCCAAAGCTCGATAAGTTTCAGCACAGGCACGGATGAGCGAAGACGTTGCTGCCTGGGCACTTTTCCTAGATTCTCTTGAAGCCTGCCCTAATCCCTGTAGCCCAGACATAACTAAACTCTGCAACCCTTAAACAAATGCCCTCTGCCACCCCAAGTTGCGGAACGCTCTAGCCCTAAATGAGCAGCCTTGTGCTGCCCGGAATTGGCCCTTTGGCAATACAAAAACATCACTTGTCGAGTGTCGAGAAAAGTCGCGAAAGCACCCCCAACAGAACCTGTATCCCCCGTCCTCCGCCTAAACCCTCAAAATCCCTCAAACCCTAAACCCTAAACCCTAAACCCTACACCCTACACCCTACACCCTAAACCCTAAACCCTAAACCCTAAACCCTAAACCCTCCTGAGAACCCCGGCGGCCAAGCCGGCGATGGCGTGCGCTCCGCCCACGGGAGCGCCTGACGACCGTTGCTCCTACTTTGGGTTCTTGGGGGTTGGGGTTTAGGGTTTAGGGTTTAGGGTTTAGGGTTTAGGGTTTAGGGCTTAGGGCTTAGGGCTTAGGGCTTAGGGCTTAGGGCTTAGGGCTTAGGGCTTAGGGCTTAGGGCTTAGGGCTTAGGGCTGAGGGTTTAGGGCTTAGAGCTTAGGGCTTGGGGCTTAGGGGTTGGGGGTTTCTTGCCGAGGCTTCTTGGGGGCTCCGAGGGGTTCTGAAAGGAGTTGGGCTTAGGGGCCTTGAGAGGGAGCTTCGGGTTGAAGTTTCCCTAAACCCTAAACCCTAAACCTAAACCCTAAACCCTAAACCCTAATTTCAAGGATTTGGGTTCGGAGGGCAGGGGGCTGAAGACTGCTACGGAGCAGCAACCCCGGGCGCCTCCGCACTTCGTCGATGAGGCGTGACACCTCCATGGGCTGGGAAGGCAAAGATGTTACATATCTATATATGTATATATATATATATATATATGTTTATACTTATATTTGTATTTCTATATATATATAATTGAAATTTATATTTATGTATATTTATATTTATATATATGTGTGTATATATAATACCGTATATATATATATACACATATCTTCAAGCCACCGAACCTCCTCCCCAAGCGCTCCTCCCGAAAGAAAGCGCGACACAGCGAAGCCAAGGCCTCACCAGGATCCTCCGTGGCACGCTGCACCAGCTGCCTTCTTCGAACAAAAAAACGAAGGGTTTAGGGTTTAGGGTTTAGGGTTTAGGGTTTAGGGTTTAGGGTTTAGGGTTTAGGGTTTGGGGTTTAGGGTTTAGGGTTTAGGGAACCCGCAGTAGAGACTGTGGATACCAAGAAGGAGCCTCTTCATGTGCCTCTTTAGGGTTTAGGGTTTAGGGCTTAGGGCTTGGGGTTTAGGGTTTAGGGTTTAGGGCTTAGGATGGGCTTAGGGCTTACGGCTTAGGGTTTAGGGTTCAGGGCTTAGGGTTCAGGGTTTAGGGTTTAGGGGGGGTACATGATGGGTTAGGGTGTGGAAGCAGGCTGGTAAGTGGCACCGAACTTGCAGCAGACTTTCAGACGCAGGCTGTCTGTGCCTGCTATCCTTCATAATCTGACTGCGTGCTCAGATGTCGACCACTGAGCAGACCACAATATGGACCCTATCCTTAACTGCTTTGACTGCCCTAACTTTCACTCTTCAGCCAGGGGGCCACTTCGACTTGCGGCTCTCCCCGTGCCAGCAGTGGTTGATCTGAAGATGGGAGCGTGGAGCGGGTTGCAAGTCATCTTACCAGGTGCTATATCTCACTCCACCACAAGGAGGCATTTTCTAGTTCCTGTACTCCGACTCCCCTTAAAACCACAAGAACATTTATCTCCTGAATATTCTTCGGGTGCTTGACTGGGCAGACAACCGCCTTCTACAAGGAGGCTATAGCACGCCCCAACAAAGGGATCCCACACCGGCTTTCGGGAACCTCACCCCACCCCTATGGCACTGCTGCATATGCCCCAAACCCTAAACCCTAAACCCTAAACCCTAAACCCTGAACCCTGAACCCTGAAACCCTAAACCCTGAACCCTGAACCCTGAACCCTAAACCCTAAGCCCAAATTAAACCCTTCACCCTCAGCCGCACCTCCTTCATCGCCGGAGGGATGCGCCTCGGGATGGGAAAAAGAGGGTACGCCTCTTGCGGACCCCAAGCGCCTTCTTAGGCTTGGAGGAAGGTTTTTGGGGTTTAGGGTTTAGGGTTTAGGGCTTAGGGCTTAGAGGGTTGAGGGTTTAGGGCTTAGGGTTTAGGGTTTAGGGTTTAGGGTTTAGGGTTTAGGGTTTAGGGGGCTTTTCAAGGCGCATGAAGTCAATTTGCCACGATTGCAAGGGGTCCCTTGAAGTTGGGCTGACTCGCATCTTCCCAGGTCAGCACATGCTGATAGAACTGGAAGTGGTGCTCATTATCCCAGGAGGGGAGTTCCAGTTTGATGCTCAGCATCGCAAGCTTCAATACAGCCGAAATCTAAGGCCGCATGTGATACTGCAAACACAAACTGAGCCCAGAGTAAGGGAACCTCCAGATTGATCCATCAAGGCACCCACATTTTTCCGCTGCCCATGCAAGAGATGCCAGGGACCCTGCCTTTGGGGCCCGCCCTTTGAAAACTTAGAATTCAGGACAACTTCAGAAAAGAAGTTCTCAGGGCATTGGGGGGTGTAAGGGGTACAGCAGGGCACCAAGGGTTAATGATTCATGTAAGAGTTACATTGGGGGTATAGGGGGAAACTACCCGCGTGAGAATTTGAAATGGGCCTTGTTGGGTAGCAGGAAGGCACAGCTTCTTCTGCCCAGGACAGGCGCGAAACTGAGGGCCGAAGAGGGTTGGACCAAGTTAGATCACTGGGGTGTCCTTAGCGAACAAAGCCGTTATGTGTTCAACATCATCTTGATCTGGTCTGTTCAGTCAAGTGACCTACAACAAGGAGTCCCTAACTGCCCCAACTTCGAACCCGGCTGCCCGGTTGAGTGCACAAAAGTGGCCACCGAGTTTGGTGCCTCCGGTGCCCATAAAAGGAAGGCCCAGCATCTTGCTCCCTTCCCCCCAAAGGCACCGCAGAAGGCACCCCAAATGTGCCTCCAAGTCCGCTGCCGAAGCCCCTCCCAACACTAAGTTCAATGATGTACTGCGTTGACTGTTTTTCGTTTTTTGTGGGGTTCCTAGAAAGAAGATAACGTGCCTAAGGCTGGCTTAAAACCAAAAAGAAAGGGGTCTAGGCCTGAGAACGAAGGCTTTGTACATCGGGAGTGCCGCACCGTCGCTATATGCCGAAGGCCCCTCGCGCAGCCCAACTCACTAGATCTGAGCATGTCCCAAGATAGCCCCCAAAAACACATTGAGACCCTAAACCCCTCAACCCTAAACCCTAAACCCTGAACCCTATAAACCCTAAACGGAACCCGGGAAAGGGGGTACCCCTACTCTGAGAAGAGGGGCAACCCCCCCGATTTTGGGTCATCAAAGACACCTGCGACTCAAAGGGCAGGTGCCCTCAGCCAGCTGCCTTAGGCTGCTCTTTAGGGGTTTAGGGGTTTAGGGGTTTAGGGGTTTAGGGGTTTAGGGTTTAGGGTTTAGGGTTTAGGGTTTAGGGTGTAGGGTTTAGGGTTTAGGGTTTAGGGTTTAGGGTTTAGGGTTTAGGGTTTAGGGTTTAGGGTTTAGGGGTTTAGGGTTTAGGGGTTTGGGGGTTTGGGGGTTTAGGGGTTTAGGGGTTTAGGGGTTTAGGGGTTTAGGGGTTTGGGGGTTCAGGGGTTTGTGGGTTTGGGGGTTTGGGGGTTTGGGGGTTCAGGGGGTTTAGGGGTTTAGGGGTTTAGCGGTTTAGGGTTTAGGGCAGGAGTTTCTTGACCTTTTAGGCTTGGGGGTTTAGGGGTAGGAGGCTAGGGTTTAGAGCAATCCTCCGCGTGTCTAGTCCTGGGCATCGGGTGGCTTCTTCTGCTTGCGCGCGGGCCGATATGAGCGTCGAATGCACTGCGGGCCCAGATTTTCCGATACCCCACTTACGCCCCATGTCCCCCGCACGAAACCCCTGAGCAAGCACGTCTTATGGCTGCATCCGCCACCGCATCCATGGCCCCAAAACGACGATTCCTTTCGCGCTCCCGGCTTCCTTCACCCCTGAGGTAAAAACTCCGAGTCTGAGGCTCCTAGTCTCAGGCTATGGGGGGAAGCTTCGGTCTGAGACACCGACATGACGTGTTGATTTGCGCGTGCGTGTGCCCGCAGATGCGCGGGGGCGTGCCTGTAAGTTGGGATGACCCTTTCCTGCTGGGGGGGTGTGGCCAGGGAATTCGGCTTGCGGGCTCCTCCACTGCAACTCACGTCCCAAATATCTTTGGCCAGGTGGCCGCGATGAGGGCAATAGCGGTGGCGAACAGCACCTCGCAATGCAGGCCAACAACTAAAGACCTCTGAAACCCAACAACCAGTAGGCCCTAGACCACCGAGCCTCTACCAGTAAACAGCTGCATCCCAAAACGCTAAATTCGAACCCGACCCGAAAACACGTATGCCCCTGAACCCCCATCGAACCCCAAACCCCCCAAGAATCCTTAACTCCAAATCCTGACATCCCAGATTAGAAACCACGATAAACAAACCCGTGAAACCGTAAACCCTCGCCAAGACCCAAAACCCTAAACCCCCGAACCTTAAACCCTCAAACCTCTGCATCCCCAAACCCTAAGCCCCTAAACCCCCTAAACCCTAAGCCCCCTAAACCCTAAGCCTAAACCCTAAACCCTAAACCCTAAACCCCAAACCCTCCGCCCTGCAGGGGGTGACGCCCAAGCACGCAGACCACGGGCACCAGGCCCCAAACTCCGGCGGAGGTGCCCGCGAACTCCTGTCGGCAACTTCCGGGGGTTTAGGGTTTAGGGTTTAGGGTTTAGGGTTTAGGGTTTAGGGTTCAGGGTTCAGGGTTTAGGGTTTAGGGTTTAGGGTTTAGGGTTTAGGGTTTAGGCTTTAGGGTTTAGGGTTTAGGGTTTAGGGTTTAGGGTTTAGGGTTTAGGGTTTAGGGTTTAGGGTTTAGGGTTAGGGTTTAGGGTTTAGGGTTTAGGGCTCTGGTGGGGTTTAAGGGGTTGAAGGTGCAGGATTCTAAGGACCTAAGGACTTCCAACAGAAGAACTGGAGGGAAAACCCTGATACCCTAAACCCTCAACCTGGGGGGTGGCGGGGGTAGGTTAGAGGGCTTTGAGGCAGCTCACAGCCGTTCGGCCGGCCCGCTCAGGAGCGCACTCTTAAGCCTCTGAAAACGCAGAGGTCTGTAGTCACTCAACAAAGCACTCTCAACATAGTTTGATGAATAGCTACATATATACACATACAGTACAGATAAATTCATCTGAGAAACACTTCTCAATACAGAATAACAGAGAGGCATGATACATGACCTGGGTTTTTGTTGACGTTTTTTTTTGTTATTGTTTGCTTTTGTGCAGGGGTTCAGGGCTTCGGGGTTCTGGGGGTTTCATTATTGTTGAGGGCTTAGGGCTCAAGCATTAAGGGCTTCGGGCTTCTCTGCAACATGAGTCTCTGACGGCTGTCAAGACCTTTTCCTGTCTGCCGTTCGCCAGGATTTGGCTTCTCCGAAGATATGAAGGCTACCCAAAACCCTAAACCCTAAACCCTAAAGCATGCCTCAATTTTTTTTGGCTGCCTGCAGTCAGCAAGCCCGGCGCCCAAGAGCACATAAACTCTCTCTCTCTCTCTCTCTCTCTCTCTCTTCCTCTTCATCTTCCAGTAGCTTTGCAGAGTGCAGAAAAACCAGAAAGCAATCCACAAAAGATGCGGCAGCCGATGATCTGTGAAGTGCATGAAGGGTCTCCACCGTTCTTTGGCCTTTGGCCACACCCTAACACCTAATTCCTAAACCCTAAACCCTAAACCCTAAGCCCTAAACCCTAAACCCTAAACCCGAGAGCAACAGGTCCTTGAAGAAGAAGGTGCCCCAAAGGATGCCCACCAAGGGCGCAGACTGGCCGATGCAGTAGGAGATGGTGAGATCTGGGAGAGAGTGGCGGAGCTTTCTAGGAGCCCGAGGGTTTAGGGTTTAGGGTTTAGGGTTTAGGGTTTAGGGTTTAGGGTTTAGGGTTTAGGGTTTAGGGTTTAGGGTTTAGGGTTTAGGGTTTAGGGTTTAGATCGTTTTAGTGTTTAGGAGGCTCTTTAAGAAAAATCACCCTTGGGACCTTCTTCAACCTCACCACACCCTCTCCTAAGTGGTGGTCGTGGGCCAACTGAGCGGCTCATGGACTTGTTGCCCAGGTTGAAGAAGAAGAACCCGGAGCCTCGGCTCCATATTTGCAGGGGGCTTAGGGTTCGGAGGCTTAGGGTTCAGAGGCTCCAGCGTCAGGGCTTCGGGGCCCCAATGCCCCACAGAAGCAGACATGGGCTTGTGGGATGCAGAAAGCATCGCATCTTCCAAACGCGGGCCGAAGCGCAGAGGATGAAGCCGCCCAGCATGGAGAGCAGGTGGCACTTGAGCGGCACGGCGCGATAGCCCCTGACCGGTTTTACATGCTTGGTGATGCGTTCAGGGAAGGTCAGAAACGAAGGCCTCAAAAACCCTAAACGGCCCTGAACCCTAGGCAAAAAAGCTTCATTCCCCATCAACCCTGTCAACTATCAACCCTTTCAACCCCAGAACCCAAAAGTCCTAAACCCAAAACCCTAAACCCAAAACCCTAAACCTAAGCCAGGGGGCCTGAGGATGGGACAGAAATTGGTCCCGGCCCCGCCCTCGATGGGGCAGGCGGTTATCAGAGGCAGCATCACCTTCCAAGCACAAAGTTAAGTTTTCAGGGTTTAGGGTTGGGGCTTAGGGCTCAGGGTTTCGGGTTAGGGTTTACGTCCGAACAGAGGCTGTGCTCGTTTTTTAGAGGCCCACAAAAGGATGCTTTGCTTCTGGACTCCAATAGCTTACCGCTTATTGGGTTAAAGCTTTTCTGCTGGCTAGTTCATGGTTGATTGGTTTGGTTGGGGTCAGGTAAGTGGGTCATCGGTAGAGGGCACACGTGCACGCAATGTGCTCTTGGTCACGGGCTGGAAACCCCAGAAGCGACCATAATACGCTGGCCAGGGCGCGAGGGAGCTGAGGAAAACGCCCAGCGAGAAGTACTGCCAGGGAAGGAGCTTGGGAGCTTTCTGTGCTTGTGTTCGGCGGGTTGGAGATGCAGCTTCTTCTCGTCAGCAGATCTCCCCGACGTGGTTAGTCACTTCTGAGGCAAAAAACAGCTCAGACTTTCTACAGAAGCTCCTACGGAGGTTCTTGGGGCCTCAGACTTGGACCTTGGATTTCTGGAGTCGGGGGGCTGGGCATTCTGTGTGGGGGCTTAGGCCCCAGGCACCGTCTGATTGGCGTAGGGCGACAGCAAGCAGGGGTCGGAGGTTGCCTTCCTCGGCTCATTTTGGCGGGGGTCTGAGGGTGAAGAGCCAGAGGAAGCCGGGCAGAAGAGAGGGTGGAGGGAGGGGGGGTCTTAAGGGCTTAGGGTTCAGGGTTCGGAACCACCCATAGGTTGGGAGTCTTGTCTCAAAGACCCTTCTGATAAGCGGCCCCACCCCAATGTTGGAGAAGCCCAGAAGGAGGCCCCCGGTGATGCAGACCACCAGCTTCCTCCGCGTCTCTACGTCATGGGGGTTTCGGTTCTTTTTGGGATTAGAGTTTAGGGTTTAGGGTTTAGGGTTTAGGGTTTAGGGTTTAGGGTTCTGGGGGTCGACGTGTTCTGAACCAGGACGAGGCCAGCCAAGCGAGGGGGAAAGGCTGTGAAAGTCGAAGGCGGGTGTGCGGGGCAAGGGCTTGTCAAGATGCCACTGTCGAACTTCTCATCGCCTTCCCTTGCTATGCCACCGCCTTGGAGAACACGACCCCTTGTACCAGGCCTCAACGGAAACATCTCCAAACACCCTAAACCCTAAACCCTAAACCCTAAACCCTAAACCCTAAACCCTAAACCCTAAACCCTAAACCCTAAACCCTAAACCCTAAACCTCCCAAGTCCCGCCTAAGCATGCTGGCGCGGGGTGGCTTCGCTGCCTGCACCGTCGGAGCTCAGGCAGCTCCCTTCGAAGGTAGGGCTCAAGAATGTTGAGGGCTTTAGGGCTTTAGCCGTTTTGCGGTTTTAGGTTTATAGGGTTTAGGGTTTAGGGTTTAGGGTTTAGGGTTTAGGGTTTAGGCTTTAGGGTTTAGGCTTTAGGGTTTAGGGTTTAGGGTTTAGGGCTTTTGGGGCTTTGGGGCTTTGGGGCTTTGGGGCTTTGGGGCTTTGGGGCTTTGGGGCTTTGGGGCTTTGGGGCTTTGGGGCTTTGGGGCTTTGGGGCTTTGGGGCTTTGGGGCTTTGGGGCTTTGGGGCTTTGGGGCTTTGGGGCTTTGGGGCTTTGGGGCTTTGCGGTTGAGGGTGTATCTGCTTGCGCCCAGCACCTCCGCGCAGTCTGCGGACTCTGCGGACTCCTCCGCGCTGGCTGCGGTTTCCTGCGCCCAACACCCCAGAAGACTCCCCCCACCCCAAAGTAGCTGAAGCAGCAAAACACGCACCGAACTCAGCGTGCATGGAAAGCCAGTTCTTCTTTACGGCTTAGGAGTTAGGGCTCTTGGGGTTTTTGGGGTTCTCGGGCTGAAGTTGAGGGGGCCCGACGCAAAAAGAGCAAGAGACAAGGCCGGCAAAAAGCGGCTCCTGAGACACGGTGCCGTCGACCTCCGACTCATCCGAAGAGCTCGAGCCGGCGCGGCGAAAGACCTGCTGCTTCGGGGAGAGTCAGGAAAGGGGCTTTCGCGGGAGGAGAATTCAACTTGCGGGTCTACATAACTCGCTGGAACTAACTCCCGTCACTAAACCCATCTAAACCCCAAACCCTAAACCCGAAACCCGAAACCCTAAACCCTAAACCCCAAACCCTAAACCCGAAACCTTAAACCCTGAACCCTAAACACTACACCCTATAAACCCTAGACCACAGCACTCGAACGACTTCGGCGCACTGGAGCACTGATGGCACCTCCTGGTCCTTGCGGTACGACAGCAAGCCGACCGTGGAGATGCCACACAAGGCGACCAGCACACCTCCAACGCTTAAGAGGTATAAGGGGGGACCCTAGAAGGTTAGGGTTTAGGGTTTAGGGTTTAGGGTTTGGGGTTTAGGGTTTAGGGTTTAGGGCTTAGGATTTAGGGATTAGGGTTTTAAGGGGTATCAGGGGGGACCCTGAATCTTATTCCCCTCTATAGCCCTGATTCAGTCCCTATATGCCTAAGTAGCCCCCAGACAACCCCCAAAGTCCAGGTTGTGGCCCAGACTTGTCCGCACAGGCTTCGTTTTGGGAGGAAAGAGATGCTACCCGCTGGCATCTTGGGTGCCCCCATGTGCCCCCCCCTGGCACGACAACAGCTGCACCGCTTGTCCAAAAGCACATCTTCTTCCCAACGCTGGGAACTGTCTTGCTGTTGGTTCGTAGGGAATGAGGGAATGAGGTACCCTATGTAATCCCTTAACGGATTTCTACAGGGGGATAGAAGGAACCTCATTCCCTCATTCCCTCATCCACAGTAAGATACGGGCCTGGCACCAGGAAGGACAGGTCGCTCTTAGGATCCTCCCAAGCGGGAACGGGTTTAGGCTTTAGGTTCTAGGGTCTAGGGTTTAGGGTTTAGGGTTTAGGGTTTAGGGTTTAGGGTTTAGGGTTTAGGGTTTAAATTTTAGGGTTTAGGGTTTAGGAACTCCGCTGGGCTAGGGCGGCTAGGGGGCTTTCCTCGTGCCCTCCAACCCTGTGCAGCTCAACAAATCTGGCTCTTTCAGGGGGCCCCCTGAACCCTAAACCCTAAACCCTAAACCCTATTCCCTAAACCCTAAACCCTAAACCCTAAACCCTGTCCTGCACGTAGGCCACCACGGCGCCCGTGACCATGCCCAGACCGACGCACAAAGGGAAGCCGATGGCGTTCCCCATCATCCCGATGCCTGGCCGGCTTAAGGATTCTTCTGTTACAACTTCTGGGGCTTTTGGGAAAATAAGGGGTCAGGATTATGGGCCTTTGGGGGGGGGGGGGGGGAGAGTTTAGGGCATCTTGGGGGGGTTTAGGATCTAGCAAGACACGAGTCTCCTCACAGGACCGGTGCAGCAGGTGCCTTTGCACAGCAAGATGTTCGCCAGGTTCCAGACCTGAGCAGCGTAGCTCCGGTGCCGCTTCAAGCCCACGAGGCCCCAAGACACGCGGACACACATCCTCGAAGCGCGCGTAGTGCAAGCGAGGGTCTACGCCACCGAACATCCCCCAGAGGTAGCCTGGATTCCCAGCTCTTCTGGTGTCTAAGGGAGCAGGATACTGCTGCTTTCCCTGATCCACAACAAGGACCATAGGGCATGGCAGACACTCCTAGAGAGGGGGGCTCGGGATCCCTAAGCGCCTCGTCACACCCCCGGTTCACCCTGGTTTTTGAGAGGTTGGTTTGGGCCCAGGAATCCACTGCTTATCCAGGAATCCACTGCTTACAGGAAGGGCCCCCCTGGAGCCTTTCAAACCCAAAAGCCTGGAATGATGTTGAATATGAATATGATGGTCATCATTCTTCAGTCCAATTGCGGTTGCCAGTTATCAAGAATTCTGTAGTTGCAATGCCCTTCGGTTTGAGTCGGGGCGTTCACGTCCTGGGTGCAGGGATCCATGCCAGGTTGCATTCCATCGAGTGTCCGACGCCTGCCCGCACTGTCTACACACCCTATCGCCTTAACACCCCTCACAAACCCCAACAACTGCCGATACAGACACTGTGGCAGCAGATTGTAATGTTTGCGTGGCTTCAGTGGCTTTCTCGGACTGTGCAGGATCTTATGCAAGCACATGCAAGCACGTACCGGCGTCTTCAGTGGCCGCACAAACCAATGAATCCTTTCAGGTGATCATGCGGCTCTGCCACCAAGGCACCTGAAATTTCCTCAAGGTACGGGGTGGTGAAGTCCTAGGAAAAGCAAGCCACTCTGCACAATGTCTGACAAAAGAAGCCAGCACATACCTTCAACAGGATGCCATGGACACCCTGGTTGCAGCCCTCACCCCAAAGCCCCCAACAAAATCCTGAAACCATCTGCCAAACCCAAGATCTCTCGCCAAGCGACGTAGCGCTCGCCGCCGGACCCAAAAGTGCCCCCGATGAAGCCCACGACGAAGCCCGTGATTAGGAAGGACAGGGTGAAGTTGACGTAGTACAACCTCAAGAATCAAGTTCAAATTGTGGCGCTGGGGGCCCATATATATATATATATATACATACGTATATATGGGTCCAACGCAGCTTGACATTGATGGCCTTGCCTTGCAAGCGTCTGACATGGCTACCCGGCTACGGAAGCTTCGACCCATCCCACACCTGAGATCCTCAAGAAGCGCAGGCGAGGAGCTGGAAGGGCATCACCTCTCAGCATGGATGGACAATGGAGGCCTGAAGCCTTTGCAGCCTCTCCACCGCCTCATCCTACCATACCTCGAGCCCCGCTACTGCTGCGAACAAAGAGTCATCCAAGCCCATCTCCGACGCCAAAGCCTTGTTGAGCCCTAGGCCCTAAACCCTGAAACCCCTTTGGACCCCAAAAACCTAAACCCTAAACTCTAAACCCTAAAACCCTAATTCCCTAATTCCCTAAACCCGAATTCCCTAATTCCCTGACTAATTCCCTGAACCCGAAACCCTAAACCCTAAACCCTAAACCCTAGACCCTAAACCCTAAACCCTAAACCCTAAACCCTAAACCCTAAACCCTAAACCCTAAACCCTAAACCCAGCCTACTTCCCTAAACCCGGAACCCTAAACCCTAAACCCTAAACTTCAGGAAGTCGGTCCTTGGATGCGAGGACCAGCGTCACGCTCCAGCTGCCCCAGCAGATCAAGGCCCCAAGCGCCATGACCAGGCCCAGGGAGTAGCTGGTGGGAACCTCGCTAGGGTTTAGGGTTTAGGGTTTCGGGTTTAGGGGTGGGGGTTTAGGGTTTAGGGTTTAGGGGTTTTGGGTTTGGGCTTTAGGGTTTGGAGTTTGGGGGTTAGGGTTTCGGGTTTAGGGTTTAGGGTTTGGGGGTTTAGGGTTTGGGGTTTGGGGGTTGGGGTTTAGGGGTTAGGGGTTTTGGGTTTGGGCTTTGAGGGTTTAGGGTTTAGGGTTTGGGGTCTGGGGTTTGGGGGTTGGGGGTGGGGGGTTGCGGGTTGCGGGTTGGGGGGTTTGGGGTTTGTGGTTTGGGATACGGCAAGAGCATGCCACCTGGTCCAATGCTCAAGAAAGGAGCAGGAGGAGTAGATAGCAGAGTAAACCCCAAATCCTGAACCCTAAACCTAGTTCATTGTTGGATAGTAATAAAAATTAAAATTTTATTCCTTATTGGGGTTAAGTACCCTTAAAAATGTAAAATGGTACCCAACTATGACTAAGAAACCCCAAGCCCTCTGCAGTGTCAAGATCGGAATGTCGGGAGTGTAGGAGGGGAATGCGGTGGCTTGGGGCTCGGGTGCGGACAAGCTTGTACCTTTCAACATCTGACAACGCTGACCACGCAACCCTCTAGAACCTTTCTAACCCTAAACCCGAAACCCTAAACCCCAAACCAAAACCCCGAAACCTAAGCTTCCGCCCCAAAGGAACGAACATGGCGCGGGCCGCTGCTCGCCGCTGCCACGGCTGCGGGACGTCCCGTAGCCCGCAAGGGGAGCCGTGTTCAGGTCGAGTGGTATGTCGGTCTATATCGGCTTAGGGAGGTGTGGAAGGGTTTACACAGGTCTGCTTCGCGTTGTGCTGGGTTTAGAATGGGTCTGTGCGGATTGGTGGTTGGCGGTTGTTTGCGTCCGGAGTGCTGGAGAGAGACGGTTTGGGGCCCATGGTCACTGCTGCAGCTGGTGGAGGCACCTGTTGATGTCTGATGGCTCTTGGAGAACTGCGAAGGCTCATGACCCGGCACTCGGAAGATCGGAAGACCCCGATCAGCAACCCAGCACAGAGCGAGACTCTCATCTCAACTGCTTCAACCCGCCTGCGCGCTTTGAGAATTACTCGTCAGAGTGAAAGCAGGAGCCCGCAGCAGTTTTCGAGAGAAACATCTTTGAGGCTCCCGGCCGACTTTGGCGGGCGCGCGCGCGAGGCGTGCGCGGCGTAGCCTCTTCGCCTGGGGAGGCTTCCTACTGGCTTCTTTGGCTCCTTGGTTGGGAATTTTGGATTTAGGCACCCTATATCACCTCTAAGGAGGGTTCTGCAAATGGATACACTGCAAGATACCTCATTCCCCGAATTCCAGACCTAGGTTTCTAGGCGGCCCGCACATGGGCACGGGCCCAAACCTTGACGCTTGGCCCGGCTTGACTTCAACCATGCTGCCGCGTGATGCTCTGTGGCCTCCACTTTTCAGAAACTGAAACACAGCTCCCTGAAAAGGAAGCGGCTCTAACTGGTCCACCAGAGTGTCTCCGGCTGCAGCCTGAGACACCCGAGCGCAGTCCGAGAAGAAACCACCGAGAGGTGCAAGATGAAAAAAAAACATGTAGGCCACCACAAAACCTAAACACTTGCTTAAAAAAAAACAAGGCCATCCTCATCCTCGACCCCCGAAACCCTGCAACCGAAACCCTGAAACCCTGACACCCTGAAACCCCTAAACCCTACACAATACGCCCTACAGCAAACATCCCCAAGAACCCCGAAGACTTTGAGCCTTTGAGGTCACGGCTGGGTGGGACCTCGGCCCTCGCCCGCAGGGTCCGCGGTGCTGGGCCACCGCCTCCCTCGGTGCGGGAGAGTCTGAAGAAAGGATTGAGGGGGTTAGGTAGTTTAGGGTTTAGGGCTTAGGGCTTAGGGTTTAGAGTTTAGGATTTAGGGTTTAGGGTTTAGGGCCGGTTTACTTTGGGGCATTTCTCAAAATAGGGAGGCTTAGATACCCCAAAGTAGAGGCTTCCCCCTAAAGAGGCAACCCCCTGTTCTACCCCCTGTGTTGGGAGAACCCCACTGGGTGGGAGTCCCAGGTTCACACTCCCACGACCTCAAGAATTTCCCGATCTTCTCTCTACTTGCCTCTGCTTCGGGCGGTGGCTCCGAACAACCAGGGTCTAGGGTCTAGGGTCTAGGGTTTCGGGCATAAGCTTTATAGGGTTTAGGGTTCAGGGTTTAGGGTTTGCTTGGGTGCTGCGGGTGTCCATGCAGCATCGCCGCGCCTCCGCCAGCGTGTCCTTCGGCATGTTCGGATCGACGACTCGCGCCTCGCACCGTTTAGGGCTCAAGCTCAGCCAAACGATGCCCCAGGGTCCCAGAGAACTCGGGGCCCAGAAAACGAAGCCTTAAGGTTCGTTAACCGTTGTTGAGGTCTGAGGCGTCCGGCATCCACCACGGGCACCGACGAGGCCACCGAACCGGTGCGACCTGAGAGCGAAGCCGCCAGAGGTTGCTGTTGCCTTCTTGTTTCTGCAGCAGGTTTCGGGTTTAGGGTTCAGGGTTGAGGGTTTAGGGTTTAGGGCTTAGGGAACACGGCAAAGAAGCGCTGAAATAGGATGGATGAGAGAATGGTGCTGGTTCTAGGCAGCAGGAACCACAGCGCTTCGGCAGCTTGACTTGGTCCTCTACCTGCCGTCGCCATGGGCACCTGGCCGGCCCAGATTTCAGGGTTCAGGGTTTAGGGTTTAGGGTTTAGGGTTTAGGGTTTAGGGTTTACGGTTTACGGTTTAGTTTGTTCCTGAATGCTCGGCGGCGCTACAGCCTGCTGCAGCTCTGACCTTCCTAGGGCTTAGAAGTACCACAGAGCACCGAGTCGGCGGAATCCCCCTCTCATAGGCATACCGTCGAGCCTGCAGAGGGCTCTTTGCTGCAAAGCCTACTGGCGTCCCTAAACCCTAAACCCTAAACCCTAAACCCTAAACCCCAAACCCTAAACCCTAAACCCTAAACCCTGAACCCCAAAACCCTAAACCCCCCAAATAACACTAAACATCCCGAAGCCCTACCTGAAACCCTGGCCTTGAGCACCGACAGCGCCCTGGGGCCCCACTCCTGGGCGCGATCTGGGCTTCGGACCGGGTTTCAGATTCGAGGGTTTAGGGTTTAGGGGTTTAGGGTTTGGGGTTTAGGGTTTAGGGTTTAGGGTTCTAGGGAGGGTTTAGGGGTTTAGGGTTGTAGGGTTTTGGGGTTTTAAGGTCTTTGCGTTTAGAGTCTCAAGGTTTGACGGTTTTACGGTTTTAGGGTTTGGGGTGTAGGGGTTTTGGGTTGTAGGGTTTTGGGGTTGTAGGGGTTTTTCAGGGGTTTAGGGTCTTAGGGTTCTTGCTTTCGGGCTCTGGGGCTGCAGGACTCCAGGGGCTGAGACCCCACCCTCCCATCCACTCGAAGCCCTTTTTGGAGCCTCGCATCTGGGAGTTTACGAAGATAAGGGACCCCCCATATACCCCCCAAATAGTAGGATTCCCCTTCCGAATATCGCAAACCCCCCAAATTTCGCTTCGGGAAGGGAGTCTGCATATCTCCTACGGGGCCTCTTTCTGAGCCTCTCAGGTCGCGTCCATGCGCTGGTGCCGCCTGGACCTGCGCGGCAGTAGGGTTTAGGGTTTAGGGTTCAGGGTTCAGGGTTCAGGGTTCAGGGTTCAGGGTTCAGGGTTCAGGGTTCAGGGTTAGGGTTTAGGGTTTGGGGTTTGGGGTTTGGGGTTTAGGATTTAGGGTTTAGGGTTTAGGGTTTAGCGGAGACATGCGTGTGTCCAAAATGCACGAGCACGCGCCGAGGCCCTGGCTCGCCGTCCAGCCAGATCGCGCCGCGCTCGAACTGACGTGTCGCCAGGCCGCTGCTGGCTTTGCTTCTGGCTTGAAGACTCTTCGGCTCCATGCTATCTTTCAAGTCTTGCAGACGTGATGCCAACAATCACATGAACAAGAACGATGATCCGATCCAAAAATCACCTCGTCCAAGAAGCAAAATACATTGAACCACGAGCCCTCCACCACCCCCCTATCCCCCTGTTCCTGGCATTCCCTCCGAAACCCAAACCGTGGCAAAGAGAGTGGAGCCTTGGTTGGCAGCAGCACATACCTCGGGCCGGTCTCTCTGGCTCCGAAAAAGGGTCAGGATGTTAAATTCTTAGGTGGAGAGAAGACAAGGAATAATATATAGAACAGTCAGATTTCAACAAAAGACCTGAGCGTCCGAAGGCAGAACGGTGCCAGGAATCTGGTCCCTCCGCTTCTTCTCACTGAGCTTTCGGGGTTTTAGAGGGCTTTAGGGGTTCTAGAGTGGTTTTAGGGGGCTTTAGGGGTTTTAGGGGGTTTTTAGGGGGTATTTAGGGGCTTCAAGGGGTTTTAGGGGGTTTTCAGGGGTTTTTAGGGGTTTTCGGGGGGGCCTTTTTAGGGGCTTCAGGGGGGGTTTTTGGGGGGGGCTTTTCTGTGGGCAGGCCACTCGGTAACTTGGTCGTCGAAGTCCAGCTCTGGTTCGAGGAGGCAGTCCTTCGAAGAGGGGCTTCTTGAACGTGTCTTGATGTACGCTGTATTCTACATTATTCTATATATAATATATATATATATATATATATATATATATATATATATATTTTATTTATATTTATTTATTTATGTTTATATTTATATCTATATCTATATTTATATTTAGATTTATATTTACATTTATATTTATATATATATATATATATGTATATCCTCATACATATATATATATATATATTTATTTATTTATTTGTTTTTTTTACTTATTTATTTGTTTATTTATTTATTTGTTTGTTTATTTGTTTATTTGTTTATTCATTTAGGCTTTAGGGCTCCAAGGCTGTCGGGCCTCAGGGTTTTAGGACTTTAGGTCATTTAAGGTGTTAGGGCTTGGGGGTTTTTGGGGCTTCGAGGGTTTTCCTATGAGGGTTTGGTCTCGATAGCCCTCGCTGACACTCGACTCACACTCAAGACAGACGTTTTGGAGTTGCGAGTTGCGGGATTCCTCTGGCAGCGACGCGGATGAGCAGGAGGACTCATGAGGTCCTGCTTTCAGGGAACGCGTTTTAGAGCTTATGGGTGAAGTTCATGAACGAATGAAGAGGCTGAGCTGAATGCTACCGGGAACAGACAGCAAGAAGCTCGAAGTCCGGTGTGTCTGGGCTGTCTGGGCTGGCTTGTGCAGTCCATGAAGGCTCTCGGTGGTCGAAACCCAGGCAAGCTTTCACAAAGCCCCAACACAGACGCCATCATCCTGTCCGAAACATGGGTAATCCTATGGCCTCTCTGGACCAAAGCTTCATCCCCCAAATTCTAAAGACCTCTGATGCTCCCTGCTTTCTGCACACGAAGCCCCTCACCGTGGGCCATGGACGATCAAAGGGTTTTGGAGGGGTTTAGGGTTTAGGGTTTAGGGTTTAGGGTTTAGGGTTTAGGGTTTAGGGTTTAGGGTTTAGGGTTTAGGGTTTAGTTTAGGGTTGAGGGTTTAGGGTTTCGGGTTTAGGGTTCAGGGTTTAGGGTTTAGGGTTTAGTGTGTAGGGTGCAAGGTTTAGGGCTTAGGGTTTCGAATCTTAGGTTGGGTTTTGGAGGGGTTTTCTGGGGAGCCTTGCGATGTCGAGGATCGCTCTCCCGACTCGGGGTTCACGACCTGCGGCGCTGAAGTAACCCTAAACCCTAAACCCTAAACCCTA